TAGTAATACTCTTTTAAGATATTCTCTCATAAGTACTCTTATTATTTAATATAGGCCCAGGCCGAGATGGGTGGGTTTAAATACGTTAAAGCCCCCCCCCCCCCCCTTTAGCTCATTCCCGTAGCAATTGCTACTCTTGTTACGGGGTTAATCCGGCACTGCGAGGAGTGCAACAAATTATTTTATCGAACGCGTAAGTATAAACACGTCGAACGATCGCGCACTTCATCATGTGCTTATCGGCTCGTTATCAATTATTGACTTTGCAGTATTTCGCGAGAGGTAACACCGCGCCGCCGTATTATCTTGTTCGACCGATTACAGGAGATACTCTTTAGATCTTCTTTATCGGTCAAGCACTCGAATGTTGGACGGTCGTGTATTCGGTATGGAGACAGTATACACGCCTATAGTTATGGCGGGAATATCGCATTGACCATAAACAATAAACCTCGGTAATCATTTTTTCTTAACAGGAATTGTTCTTATGCAACAGTTTGTAAACTACAAACCTAATGTTTTATTACATTGCGCCTAGTCGGGGTTATTATACATAATAAAAACTTTGAATTTTGAATGCTGACCACACAAATATTTATTGAATTCGAATTTCGAATGTTTTAGGAGAATAAAGATTTGCACTATTATGAACTTCATTTTATTTATAAATAGGGAGTGGACGCTTAGAGAAGACCGAGTTACAGTTTTCGAGTAGCATCGAATAGATTTTCGAACTACTGAAAAATTTGCATGTATTAATAATGCATTAATAATGTCTCACGAAAGTTTTAATATTTTATTATCTAATGTATGTTTGTGTTGTCTCGGAGCGAGGTCGGCCCTCTCCCGTTCCCATTCCGCGATCTCCATCTGGAGCGTAACAGCTTCGCAGAAGGAGACCAATGCCATCGAAGCAGAATTTTCCGCGATGTGAGAGAGGTCCGATCCTCTGGACCATGATCCGTCGGTTCAGCCAGCGTGTGTTGCACGGAGTACCGCTCCCAACCACAATGGTTGCATTGCATTATAGGTTCGCTTCCAATTTTGTTCAATTACTTACTAAAACATCCGTGCTCGGTGAGTACCTTTAGCGCAAGCGTCAGCTGAGGTGACTTGCGCAAATCCCCTAGAACAAGAACGATTCGTTAACGCGCCAAACCTCCAACACCTTTGTATGCTCCTGCTCCGCACTTCTCTCGCATCCACGGGCAAGGCATCATCCTGGGGTAGCCGGAGGCGAGTACAAACTCGTGTATCCATCTCTGGCAGGATGTCCAGTGGCAGAGCTAGGATAGCGGCCTCAAAGGATATCGTTTGATATATATCAAAGATACATAATATATAAGATAGATAATGACTATTCTTCGCTGTAGGCTATAAAGTTTAGCTCTCCAGCGTCGGACGCCCATTAGTCGATGAGACCATACGGGAGCCCCGTAGAGGACCATAGAGCCTCCTGGGGCCCCCGAGATTAGGCAGCAATTTCTACATTCTATCTGCTCAATTCGGGACGCAAAATAATTAAAGTCTTCGAAGCCCCAGCAACTATAACATATACAGAGTGAGTCTAAGATATTTCACCTAGATCTGCACGTCACCCACAGTAACCAATCAGCTGGGTGGTTCCTTTTCCCTCGGTGGCCGCTCTCCCTATCCTCCAGGGCTCTGCGGGACTATACCGCTACACGAAACGTGGGAATGGCGGAGCCACAGACTAGGTATGCCGCTGGCTCCCATGGTCTCTGGTCAGCGAACTCGAGAAATGAAAATTTGTCTTAAGAGTCGAACAAGAATTGGTTCACAAATGATTTTTTTTTTGTAACAAAGTTGCAAACGAGCTGGCGGTTCACCTGATGTAAAGTGATAACCGCCGCACATGGACATTTGCAACACCCAAAGTTGTGCTGATGCGCTGCCACCCTTTAATAAAGTGGGCCACGGCTATCTCACTCACCAGACGAAACGCAGAAGTGTAACACTTCTACTTCACGCTGGTTATCTGTGAGGTCATGGTACTAAGCCGGACGGAACTGCCCATTCGTGCAACAGCGAACACCGTTCCGTGGCCCTACCATGGTTAACAACATACCTACCACAGGCAACAACAATAAAACTATTTCCACAAAACTAAAGCTAATAATTACTTATACTAACACTAAATTTTAGTTTTGATTGTTAAGTTTCCGTTTTGATTGTAAAATTATCTGAAATAAAAATATATTATTGAAAGGTTTGCAAGTTAGAAGTAAAGCATAAATTGACATGTAACTTGCACACAGCATTCACGATATAGCTGTTCCTAGTAAAAGTACTAGGATCAGCTGTATTGTGTAAAGGCTGATGGTATGTCTGCAATGCCGGCAATTAAACACGCCTAAACAGCAGACCACAGTTATTTGAAAAATGTTATTAATAAAACAAAAAAATATACGCTAGGTACGAAATCACTATACTCCGGTTGTCAGGTTATGAATGTACGACATTATTCGTCTACAAAATAAGTTACATTGCATAAACAGAAGACATTATGTTCCTGCGACTATAAAAAATTATCAGAAAGACATATGTTTATAAACATACACACTTCCTACACGCACACATATACGCAATCACGCACGCACGCAACATGCACTCCTAAACACACGCACGCACATACGACTAACGGCCGGTTTCAATATTCAATCTACAGATAGATTTGGTTACGTAAGTATTATGGAGCTAATGGCAGAAACCTATCGGTTTTTTCCAAATCCTATCTGTAGATAGAATATTGACACCGGCAGTAAGGCACCATGTTATCTTTTGACTATCAGATTATTGTTCCATGTTGTGTCGGACGTCCGTCCCCCTGCCAGGTGGACCGATGACCTGAGCAATGTCGCTGGTGGTGGGTGGATGAGGAAAGCGGAAGATCGTGCACTGCGGCGTGCCCTTTATTACACAGTGTATGACATCCCGCGACGGTGTTATACCCTGTGTAATATATGAGAGATAGTGAAAATTTACTAATCTGATTAATCACGGTGGAAGAGTTTTGGCGATCATTTTTAATTACCATACTCGTGCAACAAGGTGCACCTGCATATCTAAGCAATAAAATACAAGGTTGGTCTCAAATATACAGCGTGTCGTTACAACCACGACAATAAATGAACACACATGTAGAGGATGAATTTTTAAAATTGTATTAAGCATTTACATTCTTTAAACATCAATATTTACTGAATTATTAAAATTTACAAAACAAACATTTTTAGAACACACTTACTTATAAAACTGTAACGTAAAATTCATTTGTAAAGGTCACATAGCATATGAATAGTTTGAATGAATTTAAAAGAGATAAAACATACTGTTAGAAGGAGAGACTTGTAATGCGACGTTGTGGCAACGAATGAAAAAGTCTCTGAATGTTACAAATTTTGTTTCCTATTTTATTTAATAAGTTTGTTTGACAAAAATATTTTTTTTAATTATGGATTTTTTAACGTTTTATATTTTTTTATGATTATTGGCACGCAGCGCTAGACGTGTGTTCATTTATTGTCGCGGTTGTAACGACACGCTATTTAACCGTCATGCCACCACCATTATACAACCACGCTATATATTATACTGCTATATAGACACAATGACACGACTGAGAGTAACACTAAAAGAGTTTTTGGCACATGACCAATCTTTACGGTTTACAAACAGAATTATTTTGTCCACACTCGGAGATCTAAACTAGCATAATCTGTAATTATTAATTATCAAGTGAAATTTAATAACGTGAAAAGTACCATGGGCTCTGATATAGCGTGCGATGACGAATACAGCCGTGATAGCTCAGTGTCCGGGCGCTCGCCTTTAATTCAATATACTCGAGCAACCTGAGTTCGATCCCCGGTGCCGGCACCAATGAAGTTTTTAACTTTAAGTGCTGACTTATCACGTGCTCCGCGGTGAAGGAAAACATCGTGAGGAAACCTGCATATTTTCGAAATAATAACAAAAAAATATAATTCGAAAATATGTGAAGTCCGCCAATCCGCAGTGGGGCTGCGTGGTGGACTATGTCCTGATACCCTCTATATAGAGGAGGCCTTTGCCCAGCAGTGGGACATGTATAGGCTGTTACTTTACTTTTTTTTTTTTGACAAATAATGGGACCCAATTTGATTGTAGATCGATGAGGACTTGACGTGATGATAATAGAGATGATGTGGTGTATTAATTTACACTATCTATTTCGGTTCAAGTCGAGGATACAATGGAAAGGAATAATTATTTATTTAATTACCATTAGTCGATTATCCATTTCTCAACTAAAGAGGTCGTGGAGTTGCAGTGGAATGGAGGACTTCATCGTGTCGTGATAGTGCACCAGCATTGTTATTCTCTCAGTGCACCAGCATTGCAGTCCTCTTCGGGCCAAGTTGTCAAAGCCGTCGGGTAAACCACATTCTTCATCTAATGACGTATCATATTAACGATATTAATACTGTTGGTGTAATAGAATCTAGCAGATAACTGATAAAAGTTATCAGTTATATGCTAGATTCTATTAGGATTTGAGGCCAATATTGTCAGTTAGTTAGAAGAACTAACTGACAATATTGGCCTCAAATCAATATTTTTTTAGTAATATTTTTGATAAAATGAATTTGAAACACATTTGAAAAATTTGTTACATATTTTAAGCTGAACGTCATGTATAAAAATTTTACGTTATTTTTTATCTGTACATTGTTTTGGATTTGTTATATGTCAGTCAACAAAGCTTCAATTCAAGTGTGTGGAACTTTGGATCCTAAGTTCAAATTTTTAAATATATTAGTATTGAGGTAGTGACTGAAACCAATAATAAAATATTACGCATTAGGGGTTTTTAAACTTTAATTACGGAATAAAATAATCATGTCATCAATTTCTATTGCTTTCAGCGTCATAATAACAATCGGCATAACTGTTACTTGTAAGGTGTGGCACACTTTTAGTTTTGTGAATAAACAAAAATGCCCTTGTTAGAATCATGCTGGTCACCATGTATTTGGTCCTCAACGGTGAAATCCGGCAGCAGAGCCGTAGCTGTGTACACTGCAGCAATGAGCATAATATTAATAACTTTCATTGCGTATCAAATGGATGGCGGTGATTCCACACAACTTTGGAACCCATTGTTTGAAGCTGATGTTAGAGGATGTAAGTAATTGTATGAAAAAACATGTCTGAGTTCATTTAAGTGATACACACAGTACAATTCTTGTTTCCACCTGGTCATAAACCACACATAGATCCAGAAAACTATAGGTGACACAAATACTTACTTTCGGTGCCGAAACCAATAGCTTATCAGCTGTTTATCTGACTCAACAACCACCGCTATACATTGTTGTCAGTCACCAGATAAATGCCAAATTGTTAATATACTAAAAGCTTCCCTCCTTTGAGGCCATTGTACTTTCCTGGACACTTTGTCCTTGAATATTAGAAAAAGCAATGCTCATTGTGATATTCTAAATGGGTGGCCTATGTTTAACAATGAATAACGGTGCTGATGATCCCCACATCCAACACCCATGCTCACCCAATATATCAAGCTACTAAGGCATTCCATGCCCATAACTTTCATTTTAACAGCTATTTAAATTTACCATAACCCATACTTATAAATTGTATATTACATATTTTATATACAATTATTTATTTTTTATTCAGTTTATAATTATATTTCATTACACACACAGCTATAATACAGTTAGAAAACAAATTGCAAAACATTCTTAATAGAACAATATCAATGTACAGTGAGCATGGACCAGAAATAGCATTAAAATGAAAATAAAAAAAAAAACAAGAATAAAATAAGAATTCAATATTAATTTATAACCTTTAGCACCATAACAGTGACTTATTATTGTTTTATATTATTTATTACATTCACTATGGAAAAAACTCATTTTAAAAATTGATCTTTCAGCTCTACAATTGTTTGGAATAATCTTTATAGTAATACTTGTAATTCTCATCATATCATCCATATTTATGGTAAGCCTACTTTTGATTTCCATGAGTTCTTATATAAAACCAATTTGACAATATAAAAGTAACTCCAGTAAATTAGCTTAACTAAAATTGATGATGCATATTTAAAGTACTTATTACAAAATATCTAAATTTTTTTTATTATCTTTTTTGTATTCATCTTCTATTATTTTTGGTTTATTTGTATTTTGCATTAACATACTTACCTAATTTTCCAGGTGATTGGTATTAATATATGGATGAGAGGTTTTATTTTGCCATGGCTCATCACAATGGGACTCATTATACTATTCCAATTTATATTTGGTCTGTGGCTACTTGGCGGATACTATATTTATGTAAGTAACTTAACAGTTAATTTAAACAGTAACTGGCAAGTATGGTTCTAGATTCCAAAATTAAAGTGTATTTTATTAATTTGAAAATGGTTGAACCAAAAATATAATCTATATGTATTTTATTTTTGGGTTTTATTTATTTTACTTTAAATGAAACATGTCATTCATGGATAGTGTAAATTTGAATATATTAAAGTACATTAGGATTGCTTCAGTACTTTTAGAGGTTACTGTTTGCATACAAATAATCAAAATTCAAGGTATTATACTAGTTTGTATTAATGGTTACTATAATTGCGAGTTATATTCAAATGTCTTTATTCAATATAGAAGAATTACAGTTCGGAAAAGAAGAGGTCTTTGGGGTCCAGGTTATTTATAAAGAAATTTAAAAAAAAATAAAGAAATTACTAAAATAAAATCTTCATCGGTGAACTTTCTTATTTTTAACAGCAACAGCTGCTGAGCTTATTCTACTTGCAAGTTTATTAATATCAGGCCTCAATGCAGTTTGGCATCTATAGTTATGCCAAGGAATACAGTCGAATCAATAGGGTCTAGCACTTCCCCATATGTTAGTTTTTACATGTTTCACATTACATTAATTTACGTTCATATCATGATCATAATTTAAGGAATGTCATTTTATTTCAAAAAGTAAAGAAGTATCATGAGCTAACAGTACTATCTCATGATTATCTAAAGATAGATCTAAAGTTATAATATTTTCAATAAAAAGTTATAAAATATTTTTGTTTTTCATGTTTACAGCTGGATGCTACATTTGCTGCCCTTGTAGACTTTCTCTGGATGGCATATAATGTGAGTATTTTTTTTAATGTGATAGGATGGCAAGTAAGCTGGCATTTCACCTGTCGTTAAGTTATAACCGCCACCAATGGGCATTTGCATCACCCATAGAATTGCAGACATGTTGGAAACTTTTAATATAGAGGGCTCAGCTACCTCACTTACCAGACTAAACGCAGAAGTATAACAGTTCTACTTCATGTGGGTCTTCTGACTTGTTGTGGTACTAGCCAGAATGAACCTGCCCTATCATGTTATTGTGACATGTGAAGACTGTTGCATGGCTTTACCACAGATATATTACAATTTTCATTACAACCATAAAATCACTTGTACCCAGCAATAGGAGATTATGTATTTCCAATTTCTATAGTCTGGACACAACTATTTCACATCCATGCATCTGCATATACATACACATTGTATAATGATGCAAGTTGATTATATCAAATAATTGGTGTATAAATTAATAATTGGTCCTGATGCCCTGGCTTCGCACGGGCGCAATGTAATACAATAATACATATAAACCTTCCTCTTGAATCTCTATCTAGTAAAAAAAAAACCGCATCAAGATCCGTTGCGTAGTTTTAAAGATCTAAGCATATTAGGGACAGACAGACAGCAGGACGACTTGGTTTTATACTATGTAGTGATGATTATTTTACATTTTTATTTCAGATATACTGCTGGCTGTGCGTATTCTCACAATACCAGATTATACTGGATATGCAGTCACCCAATATCGAAATCTTAGTTGAGTACTAAGTTTTGTGTTTTCTATATTTTTTTATGTGACATATCAATAGGAGTAGAAGACTATACAGTTTAAAAGGTCAGACGATGATCATACCTGAAGTGGGCATTTGACTTTTGACTCTAGCCCCAAATATGTAAAATAACCTTGGTTTCTCACATAATTATCCATCTACATTATAAACGCATTGATGAGGACTCTTATCACGATATTGTTTAACTTTCTATTATAAAGTATGTATGCCAGAAATGCTAGGAACACTTTACTAAGGAACTTTACATTTAAATTACTAATATACATTTATTTTTCAATATTTTTGTTACCCTAAAGCTGAGTTTATGTTATGGTGTATTGTGTACTAACCATTAATTAGCTTTAAAGTCAAAGTGGACAGAAGACAATGCCTTGCAAAAGTCTTGTAAATTTAATTACTTTCAATGATATATATTGTATAGACATTAAAAGTTAGGGGACCTAGATTATTCCCCATTTAAATATTAAATATTCTTCAAATATATATCATCAATGACCTCATTTTCACTGAGATTTTCTCCGTATTTCATCTTCATTATTACCTTCCATAAAAACTATTTAACCTGATATACTATATAGTGAAGTTTTTATATTCACAGAAGCTGTATACATCTATTTTAAATTAAGAATAGTTAATTAAAAATAAGTGTTATTCACATTCCATCATTTCAATATTCTTGATATTTCCAGAATGAAAAAATTTAAATGATGAAATAAAAAATTCTAAAACACTTATGTTGAAAAATGTTTTCTGTATAATGTTACCACCTGTTAAATATTTAGTTAGTTCTTGTCATGAATTCGTGTGAAGTTTTATTTTCAAAAGATAAGAAGTAATAACAAATAAAAAGCGGCTGAATAAATTAGCAATATAACCCAAATTTTTTTCGTTTTTTCTTTATTAGTTATATGTAAAATGAATTATTAAAGGATGTCATTGCAAAATTAAGGTATATATTCACGACCGTAACAATTGTAGTATGCTATAGTGTTTTACCATTTTTATTGCCAAATAAAACTGCCATATGCATATTGTACACATACATGTAACATTACTATATTGTACGTTTTTTTACTTCACATACAGCGTGTCGTTCCAAACGCGACAATAAATGAACCCACACATATATAGGATAACTTTTTAAAATTGTACTAAACATTTACATTCTTTTAACATCAATATTTACCGAGTTATTAAATTTTCCAAAACAAACAATTTTAGAATAAAACGTACTTACGTATTTACGTATAAAACTGTGACGTAAAGTTCATTTATAAAGGTCACAAAGCATATGAATGTCTTGAATGAATTTAAAAGAGACAAAACATACTGTTAGAAGGAGAGGCTTGTAATGCGACGCTGTGGCAACAAATGAAAAAGTCTCTGAATGTACGAATCAGTCAGTTGTAGTTTTATAGGTGTTACAAATTTTGTTTCTTTTTAACTTAATTAGTTTCTTTTTAAATATTTGTTTTTAATTATGGGTTTTTTGTAACGTTAATATTTTTTATGATTATTGGCAAGTAGCGTTAGACGTGTGTTGTTGTGTGTGACGTGTGTTATTTTCGCGTTTGTAACGACACGTCGTATAAACAAATAGTATGAGAAAGTGGGTTTAAAATATGTACTATATACTTATTGCTCTTTCAAAGTTTATTCTGTTTGTTTTACATTTACTTTGTTTACATAATTATGTGAACAAAGACTAAATGCACCAAATTTCTCTCTTGATGTTTATTTGTTGACTGGGGCAACATTGTGAATAGCTTGTATGACCGTATAAGTAATAAGTAATGAGTATATTATATTATTATAATATATTAATATTGTTATAACATATCTTGACTCGATTTTTTATCCGTACATGAACTGGCCTTGGAGTCAATGGAGAAATTTTTCAGGTAAATTTATGTTTTACTTAACCTTTTGTTTATGTTTGTAGTTAAAATATGCATACATTTATGACATATGTTTAAATTTACTGATGAATTTTTTGCTTCACTGAATTAAGGTATTTAAACTTAATGTTAAAAATATATAACCTGTAAAATTTTATATGTTATATTTGCAATTGATACGGATTTGATTTAAACAGTCTAAATAAATCCTATTTTAAGAGCAATGTTACAATGTACACATTAATTTTTAGGACTTGTTTTGTATAACTATATTTATTACATAGGTGGCCTTATTAGGAAATAAGCAACAAAACGTTCTCAAATATCTAACATAAGAATTACATCTTTAACTGATTTTATAAGTAACCTATTTTAAGAGAAAAATGGAAACTGTTGCAAATTCTAGCATATAAAGTAGAAAATGAATCTCATCTATTTTCTAGAGATCCCAGAACAATATTTCGGTACAATTGTGAGCTATTTCAGGCCTTTTGCTTGTTAATTCCTAATAAAATGTTTAATCACCGCAGTAATAAATGCAATATGTTTATGATCTATGTATAAATAATTTATTTTGTATTAATTTTGCTCCACTCGTGATAGGATTGATTGATTTGGCGAACCTATAATGGTAACGGGAAAATATAATGTATAATGGTACATAATACTGGAAAAGTGTTGCCTTTGGAATTAATTTCACCGTGAAGCTTAAATGTCATCGAGGCTTATATTTAGTCAGTTGAAAGAATTTTATGTCGGAGAACCACTGTGCGAACACTGGTTACACTACCTAAAAGAGGCGTATTACGTTATCTATGATCATATCTCTGACCCAATGTAATTGACTATTTGAGTGGTATCTGTGAATTTGATTGTGGTTCCTTGATAGGTTCTATTTTTTTTTATATGTGGTTGCAATGGGAGAGGTCGGTTGTGTGCGTCACTGTTGTTTCCAGATCTCGGTTAATTCGATTCGCCAAAAGACATTGTGCATTTTAGTGTAGTTGCTTTTCTATTATTTAATATTGTGCAACAAAGTTAAGCAAATATATTATAGAAAATAATACATTATTTAAAACACATTGACGATCAAGAAGTTAGAAATAAATCTCTTAGATTTGAGTGGTGAAAAAATATTATAGAAGAAATAACTGGCAACATCTGCTTCTGAGCCGTGATATCCGATTGCTATAGTAAAATATACTCGAGCAACCGGGGCGAAGGAAAACATCGTAACAAAACCTGCATATTTTCGAAATAATAAAAAAATATGTCGACGATATTTAAAGTCCGCCATTCCGCAGTGGGATTACGTGGCAGACTACGCCATAATGCCCTCTATATAGAGGAGGCCTCTGCCCAGCAGTGGGCCATATATAAGCTGTTACTTTACTTTTTTACCTGCTTCTATGTTCGTATTGCATCCTATCTTACAACAAATGTCAAAAAATTTTGATCAAGAACAAAATGAACCGTATAATCATTGGTTATCCAATTCCATATAGGTCTATGATACAATGATAGTGTAATATGCCCAAAGATAATACGTTCACATGATATAATGATTGCTTTTTCATCTCCTTTGATCATAATTTCTATTTTAAATTTTGTAATAAGATCTTATATATATATGTATATTTATTATTTTAATAAGTTCTGGTTATGTGTGTCATGGAATTCTTCTCTTATATTTTTTCCAGTTGTATGTCGCTACTTGAATCGTTCAATCACGACTTGAGTATATTTTAGCTTTTACTGATTTTTATATTACGTAATCCGTCCATAAAAGACTTAACACATATACACTTTTATATTTAATGTAATTATTGTGTAAATAGATTTTTGGTACGAATTAATTTTACTTTTATATGTATAGGTACCTATTCCATTAAAATAATGAATAATTATCTTCATTATTCTTTTCATTTCAACCAAAATGTGCCAGTTATAAAAAGTAGTCTGTTTTAGCAAATTATAATGGTATCAAATTGATTGTGTTCTGTAGCAGTAATAAAGTTTAGTAATGATATATTTACATTCCTCTTTTATTTACATACCATTTATTTTTTTTATGCTTAAATTGTGTCCTTGAAGCAAAAACATCAATAGGTCTGCTGGTAACTTGGTCAGTATAGATGAGTGGAACTCTTAATTAATCTGGTGAGAAGAAAAATTAAACAGGTAAATTGAAAATTCTTAGTTATTATTTATTTTGAGAAATAAAATTTCTTTAATTTTCGTTTCATCGAATAAAGTAAAAAAAATCTGAATTGAAAATATTTCAGTTCAAGAAAAAAAAATAACAGATAATCGCGATACAAGCCTAATCCCATTTCAATAATATTAATTACAGCTTTATTACAATTTTAATGATACTTGCTTAAATTTACGATACATTAAAGAAGCCTTTAGAAATCAAAATGAACATACTTTTACTTGTATTGCACAGTAATAGAATAATACATTATGAATTTTTATCATTATTGTATAATACCTAATTTTTTATCTATAAAATTACACATTTTCGTTTATGAACTATTTAAATGTCATAGAACAATCGAATAATAATTAATCGGAATGATTTGAGTATTAATTTCAATGAATAAAAATAATTTATTTGTCATGAAATATATGAAACGAAAAATAATCCCATAAATAACGAAATTCTAGTGGCGACTACGAAATACAAAATCGTGAACATAAATTTGGTGACAACATATTTTTTTTTAAAATAAGGTAAAATATTTTACTCTACTAACAATCGATATTACCTTAGAGAGGCTTCGATGTCTATCATATCAATAGTAATTTACAAGTCTTATTTAATTTCTGGATATTATTGGTAAACAACTAATTAAAAAAAAACAAATGTAACAAAAGTCTTTGAGCCTTGACAACTTAAAAGTGGCCGTTTTCTAGCAAACAATAATATGTACAATGAAATCTTATATTCAATAATACAAAGTAATATACACTGCTTAATTCCTAAAATTTACATACTTCAAGTCAATTTATCCTAAAAACAGTCGTGAAACATTATTGTACAATAATTTACAAAGAAACTTATGTTTAAAAATTAATTGATATGCAAAAAGCTATACTGCATAGCTTATGTATTCGTCCTTTGTTATGCCATTCCTTTTCAATTCATTAAGAAATACATATTAAGGAAATTAACGAATTCTTGTCATGTTCCTTGAGGGACTCATCGCATTGAAGCGCGGACTCGAGGCTTCCATTTGTAAAAAAAAAAACAACAAATCTAAGCGTGGACTTAGAGGTTCAAATAAATTTATCGACTGCGTAATGTGCAATCTATAATGCATTAAAAACAAATAAAAACATAGTTGTAGTTTCAAGTGTTCTCAAATAAACAAGGAATATTAAAATAAGTTTTCTTCAGCGTTTTATTTTCCAAAGACACTTCTTCAACTTCAAAAAATGGTGCAAGATGTATAAAATATAAAATTGCACAGTTCGCAACAAAGCAGCATGAGCACCCGTTTTTGGCACGTTTTAAAATAATTTTCGATTGATAGATAAACATTGTACCATATCCGTCAACATTATTTACAAAATTCCGTATACAAATAACATTTCGACACACGTTCAAAGTTTTCAACCTACACAATTGCACAATATTTTCATTATTTTCTTAAATCATGAAACTTAAACCACGATCACGCCCCAAAAACATAAACCATAACAAAAGTGTCGTTCGTAACAACATATTTGAGATGAACAAATAAATCAACCCCATATAGGTACTAGGCAACATTTGTGATATCAGAAATCTACTGCAGCTAATATGGCTATGAACCAGCTGAGTACCAGTTTGTATTAGGAGGCGCCGTTTTGTCTGCGGATTGGTGCGAGTGAGACGGATGCGTGGAGTGGGCTTGGGGGTGATAGAGGTGGAACGATGATGGCGGATGGAAGAATTGCGATTGGTCCAATGGAGAAGCGTAGTCCAGCGCCCCGGGAACTGCGGAGTACGCCTGAGGTTTCAAGGGCAACGGCGCTTCGCCCAAATAAGAGTGCCTCAGCGCGTCCGAATAGGCGCTGTTGTCGTACGATATGGCGTACTGCTGTTTGTCCCTCGGCGACACCGAACCAGGCGGCGTCATCGCCGAGTGGTAATCGCCGTAGCTGGTGTAAGCGAGCGAACCGATTTCGGTGCCTTTGTGGCCGAGCTGGTCGCCGTAACCGGAGCCCTCGCTCCCCGGCGGCGTGGGCAGCGGCCCGGTCTGCCCGTCGCTCGAATAGTAGCCGCCACCCCTGCCGTCGCTCAAGAAGTTGCTGCGAATCACGCTCTCCCTGTTAGCGTACAGCTGCCTCAGCAGCGCGGACGCCGGATTCGGGGTGTGGTTCCCCGGCATCTGTCGGTTCAGGTGGCTCAGGTGGTGGTTCTGCGCGCCAATCCACTGTATCGTCGACTTCTGCTGCTGCTGCTTCAGCAGTGCGTCGGTGGAGAAGTCGGTCGGCCGGTGCGAGGCCTCCTTGCCCTCCAACGACGGCAGATGTTTCGACATGGCGTTCTCCAAATCTCTAACGGAGGTCGCGTCGCTCGCCCCCTCGGGCAGCGCCAGACTGGTCTTTGTAATCTCCCTCTCTGCGGGCGAGATCGCCGCGCCGGGGTTCGAGCCGCTCTTCCGCCTCTCCTCGACCCTCTCTGTGTCCTCCTCGCAGTCGGTCGTGTGCTTCCGCTTCTTCAGTCTCCTTGCTGGCATCGGCGAGGTCCTCTCGCTGGTGTTCAGCGGGAGGGGCTGGCTGTCGTTGAGTCTGGTTAGGTGCGTGACCTCTGACGTTGGAGGCACAGTCGATGCGGATTCCGAGTTGGCGGGTGCTTCGCTCCGCTCGGTGGTGTGGCGCGGCGGTGGTGGACCCCCCGGCGTGTCGGCGTCCGGCGGCCCGTTCTCCGGGTCGCCGGTGGACTCCTCCCGCTTCACCCCCTGGACGCTCTCCTCGAGCTGGCAGCAGTCCATCACGGTGTTGGGGTACTCGCGCCCGCTGAGGATTAACATTTGGGGAATGTTCAATGATGTTTAATAATACAGATGACGCATGTCCATACTGGACGGCTTTCCATTTATCTTTACATCTGTCACATTCACTTACATATGACATATATAAGTGAACGTAACAGATAATATAGATATAGATACGGAATAATATAGATACGGAAAGAGTCTATAGATTTGCAATCTAATTACACCAACTGATGTAATTTGAGTGCCTCAGTTCCGGTGTGCTAGTACGATATCTACCTCTATTTGTATATAATATTATTGGGGAATGTCCTGTGTTACAAAAAATTGTAATGAGGTATAAATAGTGGTAAGAAAAAAGAACAAAAGCATAAGACAAATTTCCAAATGATCGTTAAGTGAGATGACAAAATGAAGAAAATAAAATTGCATGTCTTCAATATTTCGTTCTTTACACTTCGTTAACGTCTCAGCTTACAATTATTTTTACTGTTTTTTAATGTATATTTCTTATATTTCTTTTCTCTGAATTTTACTACGGTCCGCAAATTTTTCTCCGCTAAGAGAATTTGTAATTAACATTTTATAATTCTCTTAGCAAAGAAAAAATTGCAGACAATTTGAGTCAACAAGTAAAATTAAAGTGTTTTCAAGTTTTATTTGTCGTGGGTTTTATAGTATTCAATATGAACGTTGATTTATTGAAATCTTTAAGTGAAACCACGCAATGCTTACCTGATGACGTAATTCACGCATATAATATTCTGTTCCTCGGCGTTCTTAGAGGAGCAAACGACTGTTGCACACGTCTGCATCCACGTGTAGCCTCCAAGCTTGTTCATCAGCCGGTAGTAATGCGTCAACACTTGTCCCTTATTCATTACTGCAACAAATATGATATATTTAACACTTTACTACGGGAAAAAATGAAGATTCGGCTTTTCACCACCCTTCTGCCCATATGTCACCTTCGTGGGCACTACATGAATTATGTTGTTAGTGGTATCGCCTTTGTATTTAACGGCGGTCCGCCTATTACGTTAATTCCGGTTGCGAATAAAGAACCCAGAACTGTAATAATTATCCGTGGTTCACATTTCGTGCCGTGTCGGTATCGAACCCGCGATCCCCGAGGCGGAATATCAATAGCTTAGCAAGTGCGCCACCGTCATCAAAGGAGCCTCTTCTTATTGCTTGAATAGAATGATGTAGTTAGTTTCCCAGTTATTATACTTGCTTAATGGAATCCACGGACTGTTCTCCACGCTCAAGATTCAGAAGGTTATTTTTATGATATTTATTTTTATAAAGTTAATTTCATTTTTCGAAACTATCGACGCAGAATGTACGATGTACGATATGACTATGTAATATAATACATATAATAATAAATAAATAAATCTCTATTGCGTACCTACTATCATAAAAGAAGTATAAAGTTTGTAATTTTCGTACAACGAAAATAAAACCGATTAAATACGTCGTGAAACTAGATCTAAAAATAGAAGCTACTAGTTCATTTAAACAAAGTACGAAATGCACATGAATAATGTGCAAAGTTCTTCAGATGTAAGATCAATCTTTACATATATACATATATATATATAAACCACCGAACGCTTACAAATCACACGCTCATTCATACGAATATAGATTTATATAATAATCTAGCTGACCCGGCAAACGTTGTTTTGCCATATAAATTGTTAAAAAAATGTTTGGGGTGGAGCACCCTTAACATTTATGGGGATGAAAAATAGATGTTGTCCGATACTCCACCCTGGCCGATATGCACACAAAATTTTACGAAAATCGGTCGTGCCGTTTCGGAGGAGTTCAATTACAAACACCGTGACACGATAATTTTATATATTAGATATAGATTTATTACAGCTACGCACTTCGTAGAATGTACCCAGGGTCATAGATTCACTTATATACTTCATCGAAAAGAACACTGCTTGCTCATTGATTAGCCAAAAAATAATACGCAGCCTTAAAGGGAATGCTTGCCGCATTGACCCAAAGCCTTCTAATCTCAACCTTGAATTAGTACCCCAAATTGATATTTGATGACGACATTGAACACATTGTTCTGAACAATAAGTTCGATGTGCCTAAACAAACGTAAGCCTTATGACACACTGTATCGTGTTGTGAAGAAAATTGTTTAAGGATGAAATTTTATATGAAAATAAAATTGATTTAATTCATTTTCGAATATTTCTCGTTATGTATAAAGAAGGGGTAACGCCGGGTTCTATTTCATAGATATTATCATTTATTATTACGGTTAGGTATTACGCGTTGTAAATTGATAGTGGCACTAAATATCCATTAAAGGTTTAAGTATGGCCAATCTCAAATTCCTCCTTGCGTGCAGTATTCTTAAAAGTACTTGGTACTAAATGGCTACTTCACTGTAATGATTGCTTCTTAGCCACATCTGTTCTATGTTGTGGGATGTATAAGGTATCTAGTAGGCTGTAACAATATGCTTATGTTGACTCTAACACATACGACAAGCGTGGTTAAGTTAAGCTCAAGCTACGAAATAAATAACAGCTTGAAGAATTTTAGAAATTGCGTTTCTTGGAGCGTTTTTCACATCTAATCGTGTTGTCGCTAATAACCTCGACTAACTGTTAAAACTAAAAACTTCCAACAACTCTGAAGCCCGGTTTCTTAAACAGTGATCATCGTAGGTGTTAATCAAAAGATTAATTCAGAGAGTTTAACCATCCTTTTGGCAACTTAATTAACATTTGAAAAGCCATTTGACAACTGATTAGTTAACTTCTACGATGATTAGTGTTTCAGAAACCGGACGTTCCGCGTTCTGTACCCTGCAATATATTTTATCTTCGAGAAATGCACAGTTCAAGTACTCCGGGACAAAAGTTTACGTAGCGTCAGCAGTTGGGTTTATCGGCGCGTTTCTAATTAATTATCTGTGCGCGACAGGAACAATGTGAACGACGTGTATTGTGGTACGTGAGTCATTAGCGGCTTTTGAGTTTTTGGTTTTGTTGTCGCATTGTCTCATTGTCGACGGGAGTTTTTCGTGCGGCGAGCTTGGACGCGCTCCAAAGGCGCCATTTGCCGATTCTACCGATTTGCGGACACATTGTCGTGTCAAAATGCGGTGCATACGCTATTTAACCGACTTCGAAAGGAGGAGGTTCTCGATTCGACTGTATTTTTTTATGTTTGTTACCTCAGAACTTTTGGCTGAGTGAACCGATTTTGATGATCCTTTTTTTATTTTAAAGCTGGCGCTTCCCATATGGGACAATCAGTTAATATGGGACATTAATTCTGTTGGTATTGGATCTCGGGCTCCGGAGATACGTGGGGATCTCCTAAAAATCAATTATAAAATAAATACAGAGCGAGATATTTGACGTCGATTTTGTTTTTTATTAGTAAAAAATTATTATTATTAATTCCTATTCATTCATCTTGTATTGTTAAAGCGCGAACAGCTTATGCGACACGGCTCGTGTGGATTTCGGATCAGGGTCTAAGACCAAAATGATATAATGTTCGTAAATTCATCATAGGTTCATCATAGATTTTCGTAAACCGTAGATACTTTGCAATTCTTATTTTCTGTCTACAAGATCGAATTACAGTTTCTACGATCATAAAATTAAAAACTTCTCCCGGAATTTTAACACGAATTGTGTTTGATCTAAAATTTATATCAAAAATATAGTTGGTAATGCCGCAGTCGTAAACTACTTATTTGTTGCGTTTATCTATGCAAAGAGTAGCGTGTTTGCTGATATGCCCATTTATATGTCCTACTATTCAATACTTCCATTAAGTTGCCGTTTTTCGTTAATTATTAAATCTATCTTATCAAAATTAATTAGTCCAAGCATAACATATACATCTACGATAACTTCAAAATTTCTCGCATCTTTCTTAGTTTTGTATTATTAATAAAATATAAATTTTATTTTGTAATTATTTCAATTGTATTGTGTATTTATTTTCTTTAAGTTATTTATTTAAGGGCGTCATTTACTTTTAGTAGGTAGGTATTAAAAGCACAACGAGTGTTAAAATCAATACCAAAACAAATACTTCATTATAGTTATACAAATTTACTTAAATGTTGAGTAGTGGAATCAATAAATGTAACTTAATGGATTTTGCGAACTGATCTCATTCAAAGGCTGTCTAAAAGGTCTTCAAAGTATCAAAGAATGAGAACGGGTGACATCTATTTTGCATTTTTGTGGACAATCCCAAAACAACCATATAGCGGGCCCATTTATAGCACTCGTGTTTAATTAAAATCGCCTTGTATCCAGCTGTGAGCTATGTGCTTGTCATGGTAAAAAGGCAACAGTGAAAATTCAAAAGACCTGCCGCATATTCGAATAAAAACCTTACAAACTGGATAATGTCAGAGAACATCAACTTAATAATAGCTGCCTACTCCGGGGACAATGCGAAATTGTCGTAATGTAGAGATACCGGACATTCTACCATTGTAATTGGGATCAATAATGCCATGACGCATTTCTCCGGGCCAGTTTAATTATGTTAACTGCGCTTAACTTCACGCGTATTGTTCGCCGGTGTGGAGCAATTAAACGCTACATTGATGCATACATTAGAAACTCGGAATTTGTGAATGAAGACTTGATGAGGGAAGTCCTATATGTCAAAGCTGTTTAAACAGCAGCTGCCCAACGGAATAAGGCGCTCTAGTTCCCAGAAAATGAATAGGCATTGCTTAGTTTCACAATCCGCGGTACGTCTCCAACACTGTCGGAAGTCACCGACATAAGCATACAATTTTATTGTCTTATGTACAAAATTTAAATATCAGGCGGTCGGTTATCGTCGCTGGCAACATCAGAAATACCGTCCGCGTATATAGTTGTAACCAAATTACCCGCTTTCTAACAAACGCCAGGACTTTTATGGTAATACCCGCGATTGGTATTCCACACCTGAGTTGTCCACATTTGACCGGCATCTGTAGAGGCATTGTGCATTTTAAATTCAAATTAATCGTCTCGTAAAGCTATCAACGGGTTTTGGTGCTAGAGAAAAACTATGACGTTAACGCGTTCGTGATTCGTGTGCGTAAGCGGCGGCCATCTTGTTTTGGTTTGGCGGGAACGGTGACAAAACTGTTGCATAATGGTTGCCCTTCGGCTCATACGGTTTCAAGCTCGCAAGTAATCTCCGCTGACAAATAGCTCTTGCTATTGTTTGCGTTTTATATAGTTATTGCTATTATTTTCAAAATTATTTGTTTCATGACTACATGACTGATTGTATGTTAATCTAAATCGTACCTAACTTAGTTAAACAAAACACTACACGACAACGATGATACAATAACTACACACAGTAAAAGATGAGTCTAAAACAAAATTTACGAGAGAATAAACAAAAGTAAATGTCAGATTTTTTGTTCAATAATATAATTAAATAATACAAGTACATTACATAGTCATTCCGAGTCTTTTTTTAACTATGTTCGAGGACATTAGGGAACAAAATTTCCCACGTGTAAGCTGAGGGAAAGGAAACCGAAATGACAGTAGAAAAATTATTATTCAAATCACAACTCATATAGAGTCGAGACGGCGTTTGGCGTCAGCCTAAATTGTATTCCTTTGACGAATACGTAAGAGGTAATGATATCAGGAAGTATGTGAAGCTAGGATTACTATGTTCCATGATTATAGATAAACATATTTAAGTTATTCGAAAATACCAAAGAGGCAGGGAAAAGGTTATTTCTAGATTAGATACAAAAATAGACATTAAAATTTGGCGATAAAAAACTGAGTGGAATCTTGTTCAACATAATGACACTACATAATTGGAAAAGTTTAGGATTCGTGTTTATTTCTAAATAGCTTAAGGCCGTATACATACGTTGGAGATCCAAAGTTATCCTGAATTCAGTAGCCTATCAGTCCCAAGCGAAATGTCATACCAAAATGAAACAGAGTGAAGTTGTTTAAAGGTAAATTTCACTTGATACCCGAAATAATCGGGTACCAAAGAAGCAAACGCAACATGCATATTGACAGAAGTAGTAAGAAAACAAGAGAGGAATGCTAATGAAGACATCAAGGAATGCGGAAATGTAAAATTAGTGGTTACGCGGCATTGGGCCTTTAGAAATCGTTCCGCACTCCCAAAAGCTACCCTCAAAACTCGGCGGCGCCATAAATTTTCCTCCTAACGTCCACCTTCAACTGACAGTCGTCTTGACATGGATTTCTATGGACCACGAGTGAATACAAATCGGCCGTTGCGACATTTAGCGGCGGAGGATTTCACCACGCGTATTGGGTCATGGGTGGACCGATCGATACGTCGTCGCTCGTTATTAAGAACAATCGATGATTAATACCGGTCTTAATCATCATTAGGCAACCGACTGCCAAGGTTAGTAATGAGCTATTGAATTTTGACCAACTAGGTCCTGTTTACCTTTGTAACACTTTTATTCTGATAGACGAAACTGGACTGTATAATTTAGCGTATTGTTCGACGATTTATAATTAGATAAATAATTCTGAAAATTAAAGCTTGATTTTGTAATTCGATGTTGGAGATGTCAGTTTTGTAATAATTTTCGAAGCTTTAACTAATGGTTAAACGAATTTTTAAAGGCCTAAGTTTTGTTTTATATATAGTACGTGTATGTTTGCATATTGCGTGGCAGGTTGAATATATCGACGGAGTATCAGAAGCTACAGTAGTACAGTTTTACGATAAAGTTATTTTTTCCTTATGCTATTCATGTAAATATTAAGTTAAAAGATGCAAAGATATAGTGATTTCGAAATATCTATAGGATACTTACAATCTACATGGCATTTTCTTAATTTGTTCGCGTCTTCGCCATGGCAGAGCGCGTAGAGGTTTTTTCCGGTTAATTCTTCGGCGGTGTATCCCAGGAGCTCCGATACCCTGCTGTGATAACGTTATAATTAATATAATGTAAATAATATCATAACATTTTGGTATAAGGACATGACTCACTCAACCATACAAACAGTAAAATGCAGTAGGCTATAGTCGCAACAAATAAATTTGTGGTCCATGAAAGCTCCCCGATGTTGTTTTCGTCTGTACTCGAAACGATCTTGAAGTTTTCTCCATATTAGTCGTGGAGCGATTAATTAAAACTAATTTAAATAAAAACGCTAAACGTGATCCAATTGTGTGCAAAATTTTAGTTATGTTACAATTTTAAGCTCTGGGCTAAAACTGGTATCGCCATTTACCTATCATTTAACATACTACCTGGTTAGTATGTTAAATGATAAGTAAACGATCTACATACTACCTGGTTAGTGTGTTAAATGATAGGTAAACGGCGAACGACCTATAATATTTATTTGTACATATATTCGCATTTTAACTGCCGATTTATCACGCGCTTATTGGTGGAGGATAACAACCTGCACTTTTTCTAAATACTAAGTTATGTGAAGTTTACTAATCCGCAGTGAGATCGCGTGATAGACAATTTCATAATACGCTCCAAATAGAGGCCTTTGCCCAGAAGTGGACGTATCACACGCAGTTACTCTAACTAACTATAGTAGGACCACGCGATAGTTTTCGCTGTTGCACGAATAGGCAGTCCGTCCGGGTAAGTACCGCGACCTCACCGATAAGCGTGAAATGGAAGTGTTACACTTTGCGTTTAGCGTGGTGAGTGAGGTAGCCGGGGCCCACTTTCTTATAAGATGGCAACGTCGCGGGCAACCGGTGGATGCAAATGGCAGTGTCGTTCGTTGTAACGTTCGGGGGAGGCCTATTTTCAACTGTGGACGACTTGCGGCTGATGATTACGAAGATGATGACGAACGCATTTCAATCCCAATGATGTCCATGGGCGGCGGTTATCACACAACATCCGGCGAACCGCCAGCCCGCTTGCCACCTTCTCACATGAAAGAAAACAATTACGCGTAACAATAATTGAACTCCCATTGCAGGGATGTATCTACCTGAAATAAGAAAGGTTACTGCTCATACCTCGGCTCGCAGTGCGCTATCCTGAAGTCGAAGTTGATCCTCGTGACGAACATGTCCGACTCCAGCCTTATCTCGTGGACGGAGGGCGGCGGCAGGGCGATAGCCAGGGCCACCATTCCCAGTAGCGCCGGTGGCGACTTGCGGCTGTGCGAGAACGTGTACTGCGGCCGGAGGCGGCACAGCATCAGCACCACCTGGAAAGTAATCAGAGGACATCGATGTAAAACATGAAGGGCCTAGTGTACGTTTGGTGTTTATTACTATAACAGAAGAGTAGGAGACAGTTCCACAAGTTTCGTCTTTCTTCTTATGCTGATGTGCATTAGATGATACCTGCTTATTAAATCCTGAAAGTAAAAGCTACTAAGCGTTAACTCTGTACCATTTTTCGTATTCAATTTGGTCGTCAATTTTCCAAGTCTTAAGTCATAATACGCATAACACAAATTACTCTATTTTATTGTTAAATTGTTTATTACAATAATTACGGTTGTGTTTATTTAGACTGGAACTGCTATCGCAATTAACTCAAATCGTTTGATTGGTTTTTGTAATGGAGAATTAAGTATAATGAAAAGTGTATCTCACAAGAATCAATTCGACAGTATCGTCTTTTAAAACATTATTTTTTAATGACGCAACATTAAAGACTTCAAAAATCCACAATTTTGCGGTTAAATTACGGACTTCATTACTTAAGGTAATGAGAAGGCAGGTTTAGAACTCGATTAACAGTTCTGAGCTTTCACAGACTTGGAGTTTCGGGCACTTTTTGAATATTAAATGCGGTGATAATACAGCACGTGTTTCTCGTTCATTACACTAGCACGTACACTGTAAATTTTCAGGTAACTAACTAGACAAATCGACTACCGAATTTGGCCCATAAAATATTTGCCCCCGGCGTTACTCGGGTAAGGGAGGTTATTAATGTTATTACTAATTGCCGTATCGATATTAGTCAAGTGCGGCTATTAAGATTCAGATAATAGGGAATTATGGGTTGCTTTCAGAATTTGGATTCCATAGAAACACGTCAAAAAGATAATTTTGTGCAATAAATAGAACAAACTTATTTTATAATATATACAGTAAAAATACTGTATATATATTTTTTTAACATTGCCCTCACATTAGGATAACATTATCCTGTTATGTAAGGACGTTTTACAAACATAAATTGCACGAGGACAAACACCCAGATGCGAAACAACTATCTGTGGGTCGCACAAACAGTTGTCCCGTGTGGGAATCGAACCCATGACCCCCGACGCCGAAGCCAATACCTTGGCAACTGCGCCACGGTAACTATGGTTAGTTATTTTTCGTGAAGTTTTCTTGAAATAAATATCAAATGATTTTTTTACGTATTTATTAGTTACACAACAATCTGTAGCGTACAACTCTTTTGAGGAGACTCTTCTGACAGAGAGACTTGCCGTTGCAAACCTTTATCACTTAGATAAATAAGTTTTAGACATCCCATAACTAATTATATAAATAGAATAAATAAATGGTATCATTATTAAACCAAAAAATGAATCAATCAATGTATTTGAACGGAAATTGAAATTAAACTGACGTCTGATTTTACAAAAAGATTAAAAAAGTTAAAAATACACATTCAATTAAAGTATTATTTAAGCGCATTGTGAAATATTATATCAAAAACAATCAGACCTATGAAATATCTTACTGAAACAAGTCGCAATATTTATCACGACGTGACCCCAAGATAAAAAATATCCGCGAAACGCTTACGAAATAAAAGCTAAATTTTCACCCCGGCAACAATCTATTACGGAGAACTTTACGCACCTACTAAGGCATTTTCATGTTGAGATATAATCACGTTTTATGTTCTAACACCGAGTTAAGGCAAAAATTATGGGCCATAGAGCTTGCCCTGGGGTACCCCGCGCACTCCCATAACTCTAGGCAATGATATTTGCGATCTCAGACGGATAAAGGGACAACAATCATTTATTTGGAAGTTACTTATTCCGATATCTCTGTAACATCGAGAATGATTAATTTATCTTATATTAGTCTACTAAAGACAAAACTGTATAAATTTACAAATGCTTGAAAGCTAGTTAAACGCAGAAAGGAAAACTTTATTTATTATTGTTTTTTTTTTAAATTGTAAATTATTATTGTATTTTAAATATTGTATGTTATAAAGATACAAGAATTTATTAATTATATTTATTTATTCTTTCAGCTCTTCTTTAATACCCACCCGCCAATTCCCACTCTCTCCGTATCCGGACGTTTCCCCCTCCCTGCTTCTTCCAACCTATATCGAAAATGAAAATTCAGCGTACATTTATTTCTCATTCTAAGAACTAGATAAGAAGTAAATTGTCCACAAATTTTCAGCCACTAATGACGCGGAAGTTGCGATAGCGAGTACTTGTGGTAGCGAGTTGCGATAGATACAACTCTAAACATAGTTCTTCTTCTACTAAGAGACGATTTTCGAACGAATTAATGTCTATTGAGAACCAACCGCAGCTTTAGTAGGAAAATTGAAATTGGAAACAATTCAAATTAATATTACAACCAATAAATAAGTAACGGGTAAACTAAAGCTGCAGTTGGTGCAGGTTTGAATCAAGACTAATCTTACCCTGTATCCGGACGATTTGAAATGACAGCCTCGTTTGGTAAGAGTGCTCTTCATCCTGACGCAGAAGGCTCTGTCCATTCCCCGGAACAGCACGCCGCTCGCAGCTAGGCTCATTTGTGAGGAAACTGCCATGAAGATAATACAGAAATTAACTATGCATATATATATTATACTATTATAACAGATACAAAATCACACACTCACATGATAAATTAAATTTTTATACGGTTTTGATGATAAGAGTTAAATTTTATTCAATTGGCAAAACATGGTGCAAACTGTGCTGTAAAAATGTTTATTTGAAATCAATTAACTAATTATTTCAACGGACTTAAAAGCCCAAGAGGACATGGGAGCAGTAGTGAAAAAAAAAATTTTTTCCATAAAAAATAGTCTCTGAAAATATGTTGAATATAGCATCATAATTTAAAGTATTTTTAAACTAGTAGAATATTTTTAGATTTATAACTGAGTAACAGGAATAGGTGTTAAAAATAGGCTCATTTGAATTCCGTTCGCGCTGTGTAAAAAAGCGGGTAATCATTTCAAATTGGACGATGAAGAAGTTGATTGATTGGTCGAGTGGGCAGCTAATTAAAAGGTTCACGGCTCTCAGCGCTGGGCTGACATCGACACCACGGGCTAATTGATTTCGCTTAGCTGCGTAATACTGGGAAAATCACCAGTGACTTTTAAACTTTTGTCGTATTGAATTGATTTGGATTGTCAGAATGGTATTTTATTTATAAATAAACAATTTTATAATAAAACGTTTTGGGTGTCAACAAGTGTCGTACAAGAGTTGTAATGAGGTAAAAAAAGCGAAAATTCCCATACATCCAATTTTATTACTGTTTTCACTGATTGAAAGAGATCATTTTGTAACTCGTGATATGACTTAGGACAATATTTAAGTCTTTTTTAGGCATTTTTTTTTTCGATTGACGAAATATAGGGAGTTCACTATTTAATGTGTTACTTAAACGATTAATTGGATTTATTATATTGCTTCTCTAGATCCTAATTTGATGAATATTTTTTAAACTCACTATTTCTATAAATTTATGTTAAATATATGCCAAACTGGTACTATGTGCCAAAAAATTTTTGTTACATGGAATATTTAAGAACGTTAAATGTTGGAATATTTAAAAACATTAGCCGTTATTGAATCATCCCTGTTTGACCTTCGGCATGTTTTTTGACAATGTAAAATTGAAATTTGCACTGTAATTTATCATTGATTTTTATGGGCAAAACCAAATGACAATTGCGCAAGACACTATTTATTACATGTGTCATGACAGTTTACAGCGCAGTGGAATATTAATGCATATAGCTGGGAAAACCCATTATTACTCGATATAACGACTCTTCGTTAAATTTACTGAATATTTATTTTTAAAAATGTAAGCCACGAAGTTTTATATTCTAGTCATGAGAATTTCAAATTTTATTTCGAAATAAAATTTGACATTCTTTGACATTTATTGGTAGTCAACTTAATCCAAACTCTTTTACGTAGCCACAAATAATAGAAATTTGTTAAATTTAACCCGATATGAATATTCACAAAACTCCAAAAAACCTTCTCGAGCCGTTATGAGGCCTGCGTCGATTCGGAATAAATTGGTCGTTTTGTTATAATAAAACAAAAAAGTGGAACAGCACGTTCGGATCAATTGCTGCGTCTCTCAAGATGCTTTTTGCACCTTACATAACGAAAAATTTAACGCGATTTCGAAATTGTGATCACACTAACATGGGCACGAAGGAACCAACCTTTTTTATGTGAATAAGTGGCAAACGAGCTGGCGGTTCACCTTATGGTAAGTGACAACCACAGCCCATGAACAGTTGCAACACCCGTAGGGCTGAAAGTTCGTTGCCACCTCTTAATAATGTGTGTCCCGGCTAGATCACTCACCAGACGAAACGCAGAACTGTAACACTTCTACTTTACGACCGGTCCTCTGTGAGCTCATAGTCCTTATCCGGACGGACCTGCCCATTCGTGCAACAGTGAATACTGTTGCGAGGCCCTACCACGGTCAAAATAATTCAATTCCAAAACCTCGAAATAATTAATAACGGTGGTAGGGCCACGCAGCAGCCTCGGCTGTTGCACGAATGGGCAGGCTCGTCCGGGTAAGTACCACGACTTCACAGAAGACCGGCGAAAGTGGAAGTATAATACTTTCGCGTTACGTCTCGTGAGTGAGGTGGCCGGAGCCCAATTTCCAAAAGGTTGTCAACGAATCTGGAACTCTTGGGTGTAGCAGATAGCCATGGTCGGCGGTATTCACTTAACATCAGGTGAACCGCCTGCTCGCTTGGCAACTTTTCACATAAAAAAATTAGACGTTGAGAACCACTGTCACCCTAAAATAAACTGACGCGATATGCTCCTCAATCATTTTATGGTCATCAGGTGATAACACGCATTCTTTCCGCTCTACTGTTCTCCCGTCCCTTTAACCACGCCAGTCGCTCAACAATCACCTGCTGTCACATCGACTCCTGATTGATTTTTTACTCCAGCTTCACTTTTTTTCCCAACACATCACCGGCCCAAATTGAATCCTGGCCTTAGTTGAGCGCAACAATTCAACACGGCTCGACTGTGGAAAAAATTACATCACGACGATGCATAGATGTTACTTTTTATGCACGCGTGTAGTCTATTGTTTAAGGTTTCCGTGTTGCTTTCCATTTCATACATAAAATCATCATTGGTCAATATAACCTTTTTAAAATGTATATATAATATACTGCTTCAAAACAATCGCGAATGTTGGATTTATTTTCTTCTTCAGTGCTTTTCTTTTATGTTGATGATGTGGCAAGCGAGCTTTTGGTTCACCTGATATTAAGTGATATCCTCCGCCTATCGACATTTGCCATATTCATAAGGTCAGATGAGTTGCCATTAAATAAACTGGGGCCCGGTTACCTTAGTCACCAAAAGAAACGCAGAGAAGTATAAATTTTTGGTTACACGATAGTAGCCAACAAAAATTATACAGTAATCTTAGTGTTGCTTAAAAAACTCTACTTCCTTTACATTATGTTCGAAAATGCCTCATTTGCGCTTTCTTTGTTTTAACGTGAGATCAGAGTATTTATTCCAAAAATTTTCTTATTATATCATAACATTAACCTACATTATTTGTTATTCGTTTATGTGTACACTTTGAATACACAATTTTCACTTGCTGTTTTTTTCTCGGTCATGGAAATATTCTGAATCTATCGACCATATTTTAAAATAAGCATCTAATATAAAGAATGTATAATTTCACATCAAGTTTCCCTGAAAGTAATATCAAAACGTTCCGGTTTAATGTTGCTATCAAAACCGAAAGAAACATATTAAACAAGTCGGTCAAACAACCGCAGTCAAATAGCGAATATAATTCAAGTTTTTTTTATAGATCAACTTAGATTACGTCCACGACGTCAATAAAAAGTTCACAGTCATTGGAGCGGGGAACAAAACAAGCGTTAGATAGCAGTTATAAAGAATATGGAATCCCATGTAATAAGCATTGAAAAATGAGAAGGCATGGCAGAGCTATGACATGTAGCCTGCATTTTTGGTTGATCCTAAACCAACCATCAACCTGTAATTATATTGGCCGGTAACCAAGAGAACGTTGTGAGAATTTCTTTATGTAGATTATTCTATTAGGGAAAGAATATATTTCTATATTGTAAATAAATTTCGTTATCTACACGTGCACGTATTAAAATTGATATTTTGAGGTGAAAGAACCATCAAATTCAATTTACTCGCGGCCATCTGTTGACAATTGTCCATCGACCGGCACCCAGGTTCCAATAACCCTAAACGCATTCCCATAGCGATGAGAAATATTAATCAATGGCATGAAAGTCGGCGGTGACTCCCCATTGACCGTTTCATAAAGTGAAACACGCCGTGAAGAGTCCATAATCTAATTTAAATTTGGTATACAACTCTTTGTGGGCCGCATTCAGCGATTCGACGTAGCAAGTGAAATTTCTGGGATCGGTATTGTCGCTGATTGAAGTAGACTCCGAGGTCGGAATGAGGAGACTTTAATTGAATTCCGTATAGTTTTTTTTCTTTCTCAATACTCCGCTTTCGTTGGACATGGAACGGGGCCTTTCGTGTTTTTTTTTTCTCAAATCAGAACTGCGGTGATGTAGACAACGGTGAACGGTTCATTTGTGAGTTAACAAGTTTTTGCTTAATTCCTCAGCATTGGTGGTTGAATTTTGGTATTTATGGTATTTATCGTTTGGTCTAAATATTTTTCATCAAAAACTTAGAAAACATAATATTTGCGATATTTTTATGTGTTCGCAAATGGCTTACCAGAAACTAAGTTAACACACAAATTACAGAGAGATGATTTATTTAAAAATTTCCAAATTAACAAACGTAAAAAAAAACGTTAAAGCACGCATAACAGGATAAGCTAAGGTAAAATCATTCCCATAGTACGTATGAGGAATTGATACATGCATTCGAATGTACTTATAGAGCACCTCGAACAATACGGGGAAAATGTATATTAATACCCAGTGGGTCAATAAACGTTTTATACGTTTAACCTCCTTGGCACAATATGAGGAGAATATCTCTTAACAGATGAAAGCAACATTACGGTTCTTTTATTCCAATTTTATTCATTGTATTTAAATATTTTGCCAATAACGGTCTGTCATCAAAGGGTTTGTCATTTTGAAAAATACTTTTGTATAGAGTAGAACCCAATGCTTCGATAACACTACTTATCTTCTCTCCAATGATGCTAATGATATTGGCGTCTATACTGAATTATTGAAAGCAAAGGACAAAGCTGTTTTCACTTTCTTTACGTAGGACTTAACACGTATTTAGTCTAGTACATAACACGAAATTTAGGGAACTTGTTGAAATCCACAACATGTGTTCATACTTTTTGTATTCATATGAATGGTAGGTGAATTTGTGTAATATGCGTATCGTATGTCTAATGTCTATTTTAAAATCCATAGTGAGTTGATAATGTTTACAGATATTCAATTAAAATTTGTAGAAAAACGGACGAAAAGTTTTTCCCTGCTGCGGTAATCGAATATATTATTCTATTTGGATTACTACGTTGAATTTTTTATGGTTGAATAAAATTTAAGCACAACGGAAATTGTCCCAAATGGGGTTCTTTTCATATGCCTTAAGTAAATACGTTGGCTTAGATTCTTTGCCTTCAGGGGAACGGTACATTAAGTGGAAACAAATCTGACAAAATCAAACATTTTCGCTTACTTCCATGACTACATAGTAATTTCGCATAAGTTGGGGAACCAAAACCACCTACTAATTTAGCAATTTTTGATGAATCATTAAAAGTTTTATTTGTGTGACCCACATATACTTGTTTCGCATTGGGGTGTTAGTCCGCGTGAAATTTGTATTTGTAAAACGTCCTTACAACACAGGATAATGCTATCATAAAGTAAGGGTAATGTTTTTCTTAAAAAAAAGAAGAATCAGATATAATATATTATAATATAAGAGATAATTCCTTATCCCTACGATTTTGTAACACACGAAAAATCCATATAGACATTGCTCTTGAAAGTACTCACCGTCAGGGTTGTTGGTGCCGTGCTGGCTGCCCTCTTCGCTTCCTGACGCTGGACTGTTCAGACCAGCGCCACCTCTTCCAGCCAGTGACAATCCAAGTTGCTCAGCAATCTCCGCATGATCATTCTGATGCACGTAATCAAATATGCTGCTACCCGTCATCTCTACCTGTTGACGGTAAAACTTACGTTAGAATAGTGAATGGAAACTAACTAAGCGATTACTAAATTATTAACAACTGCGTTTTGTAATATTACTAACTATAAGAGCTCAGGTCTGGTTTTCAATACACATGATATAGTTTTTTTAGTGTGGTAGGAGCGTGCAGCAGATTTTGCTGTTGCACGAATTGGCAGACTCGTCTGGGGAAGTAGTACGGGATCACAGTAGACCAGCGTGAATTGGAAGTATTATACCTTAGCATTTTATCTAGCAACTAAGGTAACTGGGACCCGTTTTGTAAAGGTCAACAAGACACCTCAATAGGTGTCTATAAGCGACAGTAATAACTATACCGAAATATGTTTCGTATCTTTTGAAATCTAATTGAACTATTTTAATCAATGCCTTATAGGAAATATATTTTAAAGGTATGCCTTAGCTGTTGATACTTGCATATACTTGAGTTATAAATGAAGTTATTTATATAGCACTTTAAAGATCTAATACCCAATAAAAGTTATGTAGAAATAGTGTCATTAGTGGCAGTCAGATACATAATACGAATTTAAAAACCATAATAGTATTTTTTGTTAAAGGTTAATAAAATCACTTAAAATGACATTTAAATCATCATCCAATCCTTACTCATCAATAAGGTTGATTCCGCCAGGCAGCGTTTATTAAACAAGACTTTCTACAACGTAAATGCTACACCCAGTTCACAGAGCTACAAAATACATAATATCTAGTTCATGCACGCAAATATAGTCACTGTACGAACAGTGTAATGACCAGAGTCGCTTGCTTTTTCGTACGGTCAATGTTGTTGAGAGGCCTACCGTAATTAAGTGGAGCTGTCACGTACTCAGTCATGCTTATGAATGAACGAAGTGTTATCAGACATCGCATAGCAGGTGGCTTCATAGAAATACCAATAAAACTCTCTTGTCACGAGGATACCGCGACGAGACAATTGGATGGGGTTTAGAGGCTGCAGCCGTGGATACGCCATTCTCATATATTCAAAAAATGGTGATTTTTAATTCATGGCAAAAATTGTTGAGCTCCAAAAATTAAGCATAGAAATTGTTAATTGACAAAAAAATATATTGTACTTGTATTGTAAATACAGATCTTAATTTTAATTTCATCGTGGCGAAGAACAGATCCTATTGTATAATGTTCTATCTCTTTTACCAACCGTGAATATATCTCTTTAAATGAGTTTCAGTAGTGTCTAGAATTAATTACACCGTCATACTTTCGTGGTGTGAGGGAATTATATTGATAATTTCTTATTTAGAATCAAGGTGAAGTTCTAACAATTAAAATCCTAAGTGTATAACTTAATAAGTGTATCGTTTCCAGATTGAACATGAGGTAAAATATGTTGTACAGAGAGACGAAACGATTATCGCAAAATCAAAATCAACAGTTTACAGTGTCACTGATTACCGAAAACTAGATACACCTGGGTAAAGTCGGTTTTTACTGAAACGCACGCAGTCCCTTGCAAACCCCCACCGTACAACTGATTGGCATCTGAACTAGGTCCTGCCGAAACGATCGTTCTTCGGGCTGTTGCCACGCGGCTTTCACGCTCCTTTCCTTTCACGGCGTATGCAAATGCATATCTAAATATATTTATCAAATATAATTGTGGGACCGTATTAAGCATTCAGCGTGCATGTATCCGCAGTGTCGGCTCGCATGTGAATGGCTGGAACAATGGCCACGTTACGGTGGTCGCTTCTGGGAAAGATGCTATGGATTTTATTGCGTTTACCGATCCGTCGATTGGCCGTGATGCGGCTGCGATGCCGGTAGGCGATGCCACATTAGGCACCGCGACGCTCGCTGGAGGCGGCTTCCGCGATATTCCTCTTTGCGTTTTGTCATTTCAATGTGAAAACGAAACTCGGGCTTTCATACTCGATAGGTAACTTATTTCAACTCATTTTATGTGAACACGATGAACTTAAGTCATTAATCCCTGAGTAAGTTTTAAATCATCGGCTAGGTTGCAAATAACACCAAGCGCAAATTTTAGTTCTCTTTTTGAAATCCGCAGTTGAAAAGCGTGTTGGAATTAGCCCTGAAACTCTCTGCCACTTATTCTCTTTGAAATACGTTGCCTTACAATTGAGAGTTTAAATACCGGTGTCGGCAATGATAAAGTTTTTAATTGAAAAGCTCGAGACGTGCACCACTGAGGATTGGTATAAAAAGGTCATTTTCTTGTTTTGCTATTCTCACGAAGCAGCGAGAAAAAGTGGAGTGCTTTTGCAAAAAGAGAGTAAAATGCGATTGAAACGTAAGAGTGAAAACGAAACAGTATTTCAACTAATAAGTGTCAAGGTATTTTCGGGGCCGATCGAAAATAGGCATCAAAAGTCAGGCCCTAACAAAAGATTGTGCGTCACGTAAATAATTTCCTCTAGAGGGTCCGAACATGTCAATACAAAAAAATCGAGTGTACATTTTCTTCTTTATCCGCGAAAGGGAAAAATATTATTTCCTATTGTCGACGCTATCATCAGTACGGCCCCGAAAAAATGCTAGTAACAGAATTTAATATGGGACGCGCTCCGAGTTCCGCTTATAAGAAAGTTGTATCTAAGGTTATTTACCAGGAAGTTTATGTGTTTTATGCGCACTCACACTGACGAAGGAGACTTATGGACATGTGTTAGGTGTTTAGATGTTGCTGTGTATCTGTGTGGGTGTTTGGGGGTGTGTGAGTGGTTATGCCCGTATTAGGATGAGGATCACGCGCGCGCCTTGCCCGGGACGTGACCGGCATATCGCATCGTCCCTTTCCCCCCTATCCCCGTCTCGCTCGCACCACCCTCCAGCCATGTTGGATCCGAGTTTTCCAGTTTTCGGATCTTTTCCCGGCTCCCTTTAATTTCGTAATGTTTAATTTCGTTTCACATGTGTGTTCCTGTGTGCGCGTGCGAGATGCTATTTTTAACAGTTTTCTTTCGCTTTGTCGCTTTACGTAGACAGAATTTCGCTCCGAAATAAAAATAAACTAAAACTGTATTTTTTTAATAATGTACGACGCACCTATATAAGTTTTATCGTAAGTTTGATGAATTAAAATCTTATTAAAAGTCTGAAAACCGTTGTATGTTAAGAAAAATACTGTTAAAGCTTTAGCTAACCAATATCTCTCCGTAGAAATGTGAATGATGTAGTCGTGCTGTGGTTTGATTACCAAATAAATTATGTTTGGAATATAAATAAATTATTATCATCGTTATCAAAAAATTAAATAGTGCTCTTAATACATTAGTTGTGAATTTAATTATTTCTTTCTTACTACTTTCATTATTAATACATAGGATGCGATGTGATAAACGCCATGTTCGGCGGAAAATGACCACTTTATTTTTATCTATTAAATATGTATATTAACGTATAATAAGTATCAAACGATACTACGTTTGATACTACGTTCATTAAAAACATAATGTCACATCACTCATCGAATATTCATGTTTCACTAAAATTGCCTGTAATGCAAAAATGAGCGTAATATGTGATTTAAGTGATAAGAGTACTTTAAATAGATCCGTACAATGCACAATAAACGTATTTAAATAATTGAAACAAACGTCGCGGTATGAAGTCGCTATTAAATTCAAATGAACGGCCGATGTGATTGTTTCGATATGGCAAAAGGGGGGCTCATTGATTGCGTCACAAGAGATGTCTGCACGTATAATAAAACGAAACCTTCTCTACGCGATTATGTTTTATAAATGTCCCACTGCTGGGCAAAGGCCTCATATGTATCCCATTGCGGATTGGCAGAATTCACATAGCTTTGACTCTACGCGATTAACACGTTTTATAAATGTCCCACTTCTGGGCAAAGGCCTCATATGTATCCCACTACGGTCTGGCAGAATTCACATATCTTTGAATTTTTGTTTTGTAAATTGTTACGCTATAAATAGTAATTAATTTGGATGTTTATGTCACCATTGTTTTTTTTTTTCTGTCTGCTTGTATGGGCTAAAGCTGTCAAAATTTGGGATCGGCCTCATTTATTCTAGACAATTCATTTGATTCGTAATGATTCACGTAGATATAAGGCACCACAAGGCCGATTGATTACATTAAACAATTTCGGAGTGTGTTGTGAACGCGACTGTACCGAGCTTGTGCCGTCTTTACGAGTACGTAAGTACCACAGTACCAAGAAATGTAAAATATTACGAACGGGTTTGCCACGTGCGCATATTGTTACCGTCAGCCCGCGTAGTTATTATAGAAATTAAATAAAAAAACTATAAATTTGACCTAATTTTAAATGTCCTTTAAGACATTTTTCTCGAGTATTGCGGAACGTTTTATTCTACTTCGTATTAGTAAAGTAGTGTTTTTAAGTCATAACGTATGTCATAATGCTGCAACATATTGTATTAATGATGATATTATGCAGTGTGCCAGCAGTGACCTCCACTGATGGCTGGAGGACAATATTTTCCAAGAGAAAAAAAGACTTTTGCTAAGTCCACGACCTTTTCTTTCGTCTCAGAAAAAGAAAGTGCAATGAAGTAATTTCATCGTATCGATCCTCCTGGAAATTGATTCCTGTCCTATATGACATCTATACCCAGCTTAAGTCTACAAAGATTTTCTGTGGTGGGGCCACGCGACAGCCTTCGCTGTTGCACGAACGGGCAGGTCCGTCCGGGGAAGTACCGCGATTACACAGAGCCGGCGTGAAAACTTCTAAGTTTTATACTTATGCATTTCTGATGAATGAGGTAGCCGGGGCCCACTTTGTTAAAAGGAGACAACGCATCTGCAACCCTACTGGTGTTGCAACTGTCCATGGACGGCGGTCACTAAAAATCAGGCGAGCCGTCAGCTCGATTGCCACCTTCTCACATAAAACAAACAGGTCAATACACGTGAGGAAGAACAACAGAGAAGTGCAGATACGACGATCCTTTCCAGCCCAGCATCTCGGTTCACGGAGCGGGTACAACGCGACACGTAGTTATATAGCGGAGGTGGCGAGCGACGGGCTTTATCTCGGATCAGACGCTTTTTTTTTCTTCCTTTTTTTAAAAACATTGCCCTCGCTTTACACCGGATGTCTGTCCAGCGACGCCGAAAGTTTCCGATTAAATCATAGTGTCATGAGAAAACAACGCGTGTCTGAATGGGCATGTGTGCCTCGTAGAGTTTACGCCCACATTACGTTGGCGTCTAATGGTAAGTTTATGAGAGTTCATAATTGACACCGTCACCAAGTAGACTAGGCACATATCACGGATTTCCGCTTCTTCTGCACTGTTTTCTATGCTCACTTCAAGTTACAGGGCTTTATACATAGCCTTATTAAACTTTCGGGCTTAGTGCTTATGCTGATGTAAAAAAAAGTAAAGTGTCAGCCTATACATGTTCCACCGCTGAGCATAGTCCACCACGCGACCTGATTGCGGATTGACGGACTTCACATATCTATGTAACATTTTTTTTTTATTATTATTATTTCGAAAATATGCAGGTTTCCTCACGATGTTTTCCTTCACCGCTGAGCACGTGATAATTCGGCACTTTAAATTAACAATTTCATTAGTGCCGGCACCGGGGATTGAACTCAGGTCAAATATATTGAATGAAAGGCGAGCGCCCGGTCACTGAGCTATCACGGTATGCTGATATAAAGGTATACTGATTTGAAGTGGTCCTGGAGACGACCACATTCCCCTACTGCCTACCCACAAGGAGGCGGGGGATCCATAAAGGATTTTTCCGGCGTAAAAAAAAAGGCTGGTGTTAAGACTACAAACTAATTTAGAATAAGAATTTTAGAAGTATTTTTGTACACAAGATAAAGTCAAAGTGTTTCTTGTTACAAAGCCAGTAAAATAACTACATATAATTAAGTATAAGGTGCACTAAAATATGCAAAAGAACAGAAAAGTCCGTAAATGACCGGCCATAGAGTACATTTTTAAAACCTTACATCAGAATACTAACGATTAGTTGTTTATAGAATATACATTTAAATCTATACCGGCTCGGTTGGTTCTGCCAATCTACGATGTAATATCATAAGTGATCTATAGATAATTCCTTCGGATCTGGGGGCTTACCTACTCAGGTACAACTTTTTATTTGTGCATACAAAACGCCTTCGCATCACGTGCTCTTAGGACCGTGGGAGTATTATAATTGTAGCAACCACTTTCCGCTATCTCTTATAAACTAGGCCACTTCCCAACTCGTGCCTTGGTTATTTAAAAAAATGTTTTTCGTTATTACTAAACATTAAAATGAGTGGAAATTCAATTAATTTTAAGTATTTTATTAGTCAATGTTTGAACATGTTTATTGTTAGCGATGTTTATAATTATTTGTAATATTACAAAGTGGCACTTACTTGTGATAATCCTAAATATATTGAGACTGTTTCAGATATGTACAGGAACCTCCCGTCGGCCGCAACTGATAACGCGAATCCGTCTAGAGACTGCGAACAAAAAGAAAAAATAACTATAGAAAAAATCAATTACAATATTTACATTGTTTTATCACGATGATATCGTCTTATACAATAACCTTTTTTATAATTGCGTAAAACTAATTTTATAATATTATATTCATCGATCCACGATTTTAATAATGTCTTGAAAATCAACGTATCGTTTCAACATAGATAGTGTTAACCATTCGTAACAGGAATTCCAACACATCGTCAAATGCGAAATTCTCAATGCCAAACAAGCTTTTGGTAAGTTAAAACTAACTGAATGATTATAAATGTTCACTCAAATTAACTGTAACATTTTCCGTTATGGAATAATTATATGGGGTAATTCGGTCGATTTAATCAGAGTTTTCAGAGCGCAAAAAAATGTCTCAGATCTATAAGTGGCGCAGAATACCTAGACAGTTGTGTACCACTATTTAAAAAACACCATATTCTGCCGCTACCTTGTTTATACATTTTCGAAATTTTCATATTTGCTCATAATCATCCAGCCCTCTTTAAAAGTAATTTAGAAATAAACAATCGAAGTAGTAGATTCTCGAACAAACTACACATGCCTCCCCATCTTACCACAATGTTCAGCAAAAACTATTATTGTATGGCCATTAGGATATATAATAACTTACCAAATAGATTAAAAGCTTTGAATTTAAAATTGTTTAAGCGAAATCTGTTTAACTTTTTGATAAGTAAATGTTATTATTCCACAGGGGATTATTTTAATGATAAAATTTTATAAAAACAATTTTCCTACATTATATATACTTTTGTTTAGTTTTCCTTTGCATGTTTTTTATGTAAAATGAAATATTTGTACACCGGAAATGGTAGAACATAAAGGACCCACAGCTTTCAAGACCATATTGTACCATGTTCTAACAAATAAACGTAAATAAACGTATCTATAAAATGTCACAAACAGACTTTAGCCCCGCCCCCGTAGTATGGTTACATTTCGCGTTAAATATCTGGCAGAATTGAAAATAGTGCACATCGTTTATAATAAGTGCCGATTATATTTAAAAATTTAGCTATTTAGTTTTAATTAGGTTACATTATCATAATTCTGTAGCATATGTAGGTATGATGTTTTAATTTTTTTTTTTTCAATAAATAATTAGGTATACAAAGCGAAATTCTTAAATTACCCAAAAAGCCTGTCCTGCCCAACCGTGTGTCTAAAATTCGAAGGGCTACAATAACTAACATTATTTAATATAATTCCACTTTATTTTAGCACGAACACTGTATTTAATATTGAATGTTTGCAGTTCAAGAGCAATAGGGTGTTATAGTCGTGAAATTAATAAAAGAAAAAAGAATTGTGTATTGGGAAAAAACTACGCCAGCAGTGAACGAATTGCTCGCTTCTTTTCAAGGTCGATAAGGTTTGCAGATTAACGAAATGTAAACATAAATATCAGAGCTAAAGATTGAATCTAAACTTGACATCAGCAATTACAATGTTCTTTCACTGCCGTCATCTTTAATGTGTTCCGATTTTATAATCGGAAAAACCTAATAACACAAAAGAACCGTAATGAGTGCAGTTTCGCCAATAAACTGTATTCTCAGTTTGGCGAACTTAATGTTTTTTTGAACCAATTGTATTTACTATGTTAATAAATAAATTAAAAAAAAAAACGTTTCGGGACCTAGAAAAATAATATTGTAATTTTCGACAAGTTCTACATTATTTAACTTTTTATTTTACGTTAGAATCTTTGAGGCGTCTAAACCGATCTGGTAAAATAATCCTTCGAGGTTTTATAAAATCAATTATATCTATACTTATTTACATCAAGGAATAACTATAAATAATTAATGATAAGTTAGCGGCAATAGGGATGTCATTTATCACGTTTAAAACACAATAAGATCGTTGATTGATGATAGAAGAGCATGTGGCAAAAAGGAAAACTATGACAGGCAACACTTATGTTGTTTAATTGGTAAAAAGTCAAGATAATTTATACAGTGTGAAATTGCTTTCCACATCTACAAATCAAAACTGTATAGACCATATGCACTCAGATGTATTGTTAAGTTACTCATACTCGCTCTACACAATTAATCAATTAATCACCATAAAAACAACGTTAATAATTATTATTTCCTAGTGTCATTGTGAAATTGGCTAGTATAAATCCCAGCGTGCCATTGGAACGAGCAAACTGAATCGAGTTGTAATGTTGAATAACATTTATAATGGTTAAATAAAATAAATACATAACGGTTTGTGTTGACGTTACCTCGAGCGTAAAACTAATAGCTTCATATCGGACGTCAATTTTCTATCGATAATAAATAAAAACTAACCCAAACAAAACTATTGAACAAGTAGCCCAAATAAGTATGAGTTAACTCATCTAGAAGCGACATCGAATTGACTTAGTTTCTAAAATGTTCTTAGATTTTATTTGGAGATACTGATACGCCTTTTAATAAAACGCATTTATCTATAAAAGGTTTATATTGTAAGTGTATACTAAAACTAAATTCAGATCTTTAGCTCTTGTAAGAACTTTTTGAATACAAATATACGAGTTAAAATAAAAGCCGCATTCAACTGTAACGGAGTCGAGACGATTTGTTGAATAGATTTAACATTTTCACCGAGCTTACAAAATTCTAAATATGGCGGGTAATGGACCTGTTGAAAAAGACTAATTACTTATAATTATAACTCTTAGCGCTACGATAAACAACCAACTTAACTATGCAAGCCACTGATATTTTTACTTGCTGCATCTAACGACTACTATATATTCAACTACGAGACGACAATCGGTTTTAAACTTAAAAAACATTAGGTAATATAAAACGTATCTCAACAGTTGCTCATCTAGTCAATTTAATATCTGTGTCGACTTGATTTTCGCCAACAAAAGACTAAAAACGCCTTTGAGGTGAATTAACTTTGTGTTCTTACAAGAATTTGCATCGATCGATGTAAAGTCATAAAAAAGGATGTTCTTAGTTTTTCAATATCGCGTTTTTGTTACTAGCTACGATTAAATTTTTCTGCTAAATTTCACTTCCATTGCGAAGAAATAGAATATTAATTTAATTTTGGCGTTGAATATGCTACATAGATTATTTCGCATTTATCATAATAACAGACTGACTACTGAAGTTTACCCAAACGCTTTTTATTCAAGAATTGAAATTGCCACTAGGCTTTGACTCTGTGGTCTCGATCTTCGTTTTTGACCAGATGCTTTTTGTAAAAAGCTGTCGCGTCTTAGTTTAACAAGGGCACATCTAACTTTATCAATGGGCACGCGCGAAATTTTACAAGGTACGTGAAAACCTTAGATTGTATACACTTTTAGATACCGTGTCGCCTCTCAACAAATGGTAATTTTATGGCACTGTTTCGTATTCTTATGTGCGTAAAGGCATTGTTGTACACTCGTGCCAACTGAATTTGTGTGCGTATTTAGAAATTCTAGTGGTAACAGTTTAACGACATAGCAGTCAATCTAAGTACACCAATTGGTGTGATTTAAGTGCCGCAGTTTTGGTGCGCTAGTGTCATATCTATTGTAATATCATTGGACAGGACAACGAGAGATGGCGTATCTGACATTGATGGAAGTATTAGTTTTATTTAAACTAAATTTATGTGACAGTGGAATCCAAATGCTTTCTCATAAAAAAAAACCTACCTTGCCTTTTATTTTTTGTACCTACATATAGCCAGAGTTCACTACACAGAACGCCGTATTTAAATTTTTAGAAAGATATGTGTTTAATCTATGGTGCGCAAAACGTAATGACGGCGGTTTTCTGCAAGTACATGCATTTTCTTGCATCTGAAATATGGATACCTTAACGTGGAAAACTAGGAATCTAGACGTATATATAATCAAAGGTAAAAACGTAATTTTTCGACTAATCTTATATATAAAAATGGATTGCTGTTAGTTAGTCTCGCTAAAACTCGAGTACGGCTGGACCGATTTGGCTAATTTTGGTTTAGAAATAATTGTCGCAGTTCAGGGAAGGCTTAAACGATGAAAAATTATGGGAAAATTGCATGGAAAATCGAAATAGCAACAATTTTATTTTCCCATACAAGCTGTACCTGTCAACCTGTCAAACACTTTATGCGTGCATTCCGATTCCTCTAGAAATAATTTATATGGCAAAACAACGTTTGCCGAGTCAGCAAGTTAGTAATATTTATGCGGTTAATAGTTTCACCGTCAGGAAACACATCGTTGTAATGTTGGATTGTATCATTAACAGATGATCGGTTACCGTTTTCACTTTAGTATTAAAAGCATATGAACTTGTTACTTATTTGTCCTTTTTTGAATATGTAGTAAAGCAAAACATAACTTTTAATAAACGAAATATTATTAAAAAAACTCTTTTTATACATTCTGTCGCATTTATTTTGTATTAAATTCCCGATCCTGAGTTGGGCCAAATATCATATTTAAGCCGATCTACCCGAGTTTTAAAAATTATGAATGTTATGTTCGGTCCACACTAGAAGTGCCAATTAAGTCTTAGTTATTCTTTATTTTAGTTAAAGTAGGCACACTTGGTTAAATTAAAATCATCAAATATTAAACCTGAATATAAATGAATGAATATGTATGAATCATAAAAAATATAAAAACTTAAGTTCATTTAAAGTTAACTATCTCACACTTTTTAATTATTGTTATTTTTAGGTAATTTTCTGTATGGGGAAATCCCTTCTATTGCCATTTTTCGAACTCTCGCACAACTATCGACGTTGACATCAGATTTTTTTATCACCAGTGCTATTACGGAATATTATCTGTGCCAAACGACCTTATGCCGCGTTCCTTCGTGCGCGTCCTTATTTTTTCCGCCGAAACGTACAACTTGTCCCGCAAACGTGGCGTTTGTCTGAAGTTTAGAAGAAAAAAAAAACAGTTGGCGGGAATCACGTACTGAGCGCATTTTCATGGCGCAGAATAGAAAACCGCAGCGCCCACAGTAATATAACTACACAGAGTCCATTGCGCAAAATGATAATTTACGTGATCGGACTTCGGCATAATCGATTTTTTAGTATTCAACCGCCGTTCAGGTAAAACGAAAACTTGCGAAGTCGATTTGTCCTTAAAAGTTCGATTTTACAATTCAATGAAAACCCAATTATCGGCATCCATTTATGCGACAATGCAATCTAACTCTTTGTTTGACATTAGATACAGCGACAAAATAATCTGACGAAATAATTCAAATATAATTTTGTTGTGACAGGTGCTTTATGATTTTTTAGTTAATGTTAGCTAAAATATAGCTTGAAACTAAAAGGTCTAAACGTTTAGAAGTTCTACAGTGAGCTTTCCATAAACTAAAATCGAACAACATAACATTTAACATGAAGTAATAGGTTGAGAAATACTAGATGTTTAAGAATTTTTAAGCGTCTTCATCTACTTTTTTATTTCTTGCTTGAATAGGTGAAAATTAAAATTTACTTTGAATAAATGTGTGGGTAACAGAATTTTTATTAAATATGATGTATTTAAGCTGAAACCAATAACAGACGTGCATTTTATCTGATTACTCCATTTAAACATTGCCGATTTACTATCTTTACTTCCTGACTAAAAAATATAAGCTTGAACGACAGTGAGGTTATGCTTCTATATAATTATTATTATTATTAATAAATTCTATATGATCCGTGTTAAAACTTCATAGCGTCTGGTAACATTGTCCACAGAAAAAATAAGCGGACATGGCGATATCGCAGCTGAACGTTTCTAGCCACAACTCTTGTCCAATGCATTCGATTAATTCGGTTGTGAAATTCGAGCGAAACGGGCGAAATATTAAATTGCCGTTTTCGTAACAGCGTCAGTGTATCGATTGTGTGACGGCCCATTGTATACATGAGGCCATTGAGTCCGGCTTAAAAGGCATGAAGTTGGCCCGCGATTGAGCAATGTCGAGTTTGATTGCGAGAAAAAGTAAACAAAATGGGTTGATTACTCCCGAGCCAGGCGAGCGATAGATGTTGTGTGAAATTAACGGATTTGGAAAGCAAGCAAGAAGCGTTACAAATTTTTAGTGATTTAGTAATCTTGTTACATATTGCGTGATGTATTGTGGGAGTGTCACCAACGCGAGATCTTATAGGCTTATCTTAACTTCCCATGTAGCCGGTTTTTGGATAAAACAAAAAAACTTAAGCCTTATAGGATAATGAAGTAGTTTCGATTTAGTTATGACAAACTAGCTTTTTGACCGCGGCTTCGCTCGCCTTGAAACCCTTAAATACTCGTAAATATCTTTCTTTAAAAACTATATGTATTTTTTAAAGAAAGATATTTTCAACCCTTTACAACACTTTTTCCAATTAAAAAATAGTCCTTTCTCAGGCTCTGCACTATCTGTGTACCAAATTTCATTTAAATCAGTTCAGTAGTTTTGGCGCGAAAGCCAGACCGTCAGACAGAGTTACTTTCGCATTTAAAATATTAGTATGGATATGGTGGGAATGACTGGCACTAAGGACATCCCCCCCAGCCACCGATTAGCTAAAAACACAGTCGACGGCCATCGGGGTCTCGGTCCGCACCGCAACCTTAGATGACATGCCGTAGTTAAACGCACGCATGAGCACATGCGCGGCCCTACCCACAGCGGACGGCCCAAACCTGTGGGTTCTGGCTAGCCCACCGGTTCTGCGTCAGATGTAGCTTTAATAGTCTCGGGACTGAAAGCACAAACATCGGTTAATGCAAGATACAAGGACATCCCATAGCTTGTATAGGGATAATCCATATTGATGCGAATATTACGTTAGGGAAAGTCCTCACCTGGAGTATGTGGGTGCCTTGATGCTGCTCGAACAGCTCCATAGCTAGTCCGGCGGACGTCCGCCTGTTCTGGGCTCCTGGAAGAGAAAAGTTATTTCAGTCTTCTTACATGTACATATGTGCACAATACAATTGAACAAAACTTTTCGGTTATGGATTGTGTTAAGACTAATTTTGTAGGGTAGTTTTAAATTTTTCGTTTTTTTTTTTTACGTTCAGAAATCATCATCGCAAAACATTTCTCGCTATATTGCGACTTACTCAACGCCTGTGACTTGTACAGTACAGGGTAACATACTACAGCATTTCTCAGCTTCGTCTATTCCGTTAGGTTTATTAAATTGAATCATCTTATGAAACTCACGAGCTTTAAGCTCCTCCATAGAATAGATCGCTTCTAACTAAACTTGAACTTCTAAAAAAACTTGAAGTATTTGGAAAACATAGTGGAGAATATTAGACGACTCAAGTTAGAAATGAAATAGTAACGTGTCCTATAAATAAACATTTATTTTTATGACTACATAGAATAATCATGCTTTCCTGATAGCATAGCTTTGAATCCTCGCCTATCTGTTTTATCTAGATATTTTTTTCAGTTTCATGTGCAGAGACTAACACAGAAAATTAAAAAAAAAATAAGTTTATTTCTGTTTGAACCAAAGACAATAATAGCTCGTCAAGTAATAGCAGTGTTACGTCGAGCTCAAACACGAGTTAATTTCTTAAACATTTACGGAGCGCGTGCTTTTTGTGCGAGTAGAAACAAAAAGGGCCAGCATCCCTCTCTTCTACGTATGAAGGACAAAGGAAGCGTCCCTGTCATAAAGCAGTCAGGATTGCAACCCGACACTCCGCGATACCATCGCCGCGGCCGTGACACGCCTGACACGGTAGCTGGTTTATTAAGATGCCGCGTTTATACGCAGTTATTTTCATTAACAACCTCTTTCTTTGAGAAACTATCGGTTATTGGATTAAAGTTCCCCTCAAGACCGAATTTCGTCGTTTAATAGAAGTCTTCAGCGTCGAGGGTCGTGGGTTCGATTCCCACACGGTACAAGAATTTGCGTACCCAGAGATGATTGTTTCGGATCCGATTGTTTGTTTCCGATTTTTTGGTACCGATGCCGTGGAACAACATGAATGGTTTTAATAGCGTACTTATCGGCGAAGCTTGCTCTCATTGCAGTGCGATCGAAAGCGACCGTGCTCTCTGACTTTTTGACGATTGGTCCAAGTGTTAAAGGAATGAAATCAGAAACGATGAAGTTATTACTTGTCGATGGAATTTTGGTCCCACGTTGGTGCAATCGAAAGTGACCGTGGGCTTTTCACAGCTAACGGCCGACAAGGACACGACTCCGCCGAGCCCTCGTGACTCGTGCATCGTGACGTCGGCGCGGACGAACAAACAAAGGAACAGACACGACGTACAGCCACGAGCCGACTTGCCGCTGGATGGAGTGCCATCACGAGCGCTTACGCAACGCCAACTTTGCGAACCGGTAGTAGACCGCAATGTTCGCCAGTGCTCAAAAGGAAACGAAAGTGGAAAGGAACGATTTGTGACTAACCACGAATTGGGTTACATCGCCTTCGGATTGACGTTAAGTGGTCACCTATTTGTTATGTTATACGGTAATTTTCAGTGGCTTACTAACGAAAATAATATTTCGACATTTATTTCATTGGTAATAAAATCACTAAACAGCAATACATAGAAAATGCACATGAAAAGTAGAACAACAAAGTACAACTAGTTGACAGTGTACATAACATACCTTATTATTTTGTGCAATGTATAGAAAGAAAGATACATTGGAACAAAAGGAGGAAGTAGTAAAGATTTCTTCGCCCGAGTACAAATATGACAATCGTAACTATTGCCTTCGAAACGGAATAAAATAAAAATTTCAACCTTGTTGCCGAAGCTATGAACTGCATAACTTTATTCTTGTAGGGATATTCTATTTGACAGAAAATTTACGAAATTATATTCAACCACACATTACAAGTGATATTTGTTCATACAGACTTTATTAATTTGCTAAAATTTAAGCCTTTTTAAATTAATCATTATTAAGTACTTATTATCTTATCTTCAAAGCCATGGTAAAAAATATCGCCCCACTGATTACGATAACATGTACATCTACTTCTGTCGTCTTCTTGTATTAACTGATGTTTTTGCTTTCCATCCCGAGACTATTAAAGCTTCATCTGACGCAAGCTTCATTTGACGCAACTTCTGTCGTTATAAACCTATCTAACCTAGCATCAACAACATCGTCAATATCAGTAACATAATTTAACTGTACCACTGTACATTATTATACTTTATTATATTACACTTAATATAACGTCAAAATTATATTAAGTGCAAGTTGTAGCAAAAGATTAGATAAGATTGGATTACTCCTTCGCTACCATCACAAGGAACGCTTACAGCTGATACTTCTAGTAGCCGTGCGCACGTCTTATTTGTCTCCGGAACGTTGCAAACGTGGCCACCGTACATGCGCGGCGTGTCGGCGACTACAAAGCCTCATACACTCTGTTTTATTGAATTAAAACGTAGTAAAGAGCGCCGTGGCGCTATCTCGGCATCTCACTTAAATGGCGCAAAGCCTAAATCTGCTCGATCCATGTGAACGCTTTTATCAGTGTAAAATTTCAGGACAGATGTGGACGGTGATCTGATAAAGGATGTACCTTCTATTTTTGTCGGTATGATGTATACGTTATGTTTAAAATCGCGTCGACTATCTCGCACTGTATACATATTAACAAAAAAAGATCTGGACGGTTTATTGCTGTGAAAGGTCAAAGTATTCGTCAGGTTAAAGGGCCAGTAGACGTGTTATTGCGATAAGATTTTGTTGTCTTAGCGATAGTTAAGATTGTACTTGAATCACGAATATTTATCAAGCAAATGGATTAGTTTACTAAGTCATTAATATATCGTATATGTATGTAGTGTATCATTTTTGTGGTTACGATCTGTTTATAAACGAATAACGGGTTTAACTATTAAGAAGAAATATTGACTCTTTCCGAAAGCGATGTGTCTCGAGACTATTTGATATTAATTATTTGAGATCGACTTTAAAAATACCGACGAGTTTAATATGTACCTATATATGTGTTGGCAAATTTAGTTTTGGCTCTTGTGAATTATTCACGTTAAAGAACTAATTCATTTTATTATCATCAGCTAATTTCGGCGATATACTGTCTTTCTCTGTCAGGCGTCTCCTAAAGATCACCATATACCTCAACCTTTAGCTACTCGTATCTAATAGCCACCAAGCAGCCTTACGTAGATCGTGTCTATAGGCAGGATCCGTATTAATCTGCGTTTACACGACCTCCATACAAAAGCACGTTTATCACAACGATGGTCACTTCTGCGGTAGATGTGACCAGCCCATCACCACTTTAGCGGGCGTATTCAAGAAGTTATCTCCCTTACTTCATTATAATGATATGTTTAATATATTCATGAATAACTTTTCGGTTACATCGTTTATATGTTACATGATAGATAGCAAAAGTAAGATTATATGCATATTACTGAATACAAAGGAAGGAAGAACTCGGCGAAGGCTTTTTATCAAGAATCAGTTAACATAATATACTTAAACTGTCGGAAAATTTGGAAAGAATCCACTTCTGCATGTCCAGACAACAAAACGGGTGCGATGAAACCATTTATTTTACTCTCACCAACCCCAAGTTGCGAACAAATTTTTATGAGGGCCGCTAAGACTCGGAATAATTTTCTCATTATCGACCGCACAGTGTGGCATTACCCTTAAGTCTGATATTGTCGTCATTATGACAATAATTTACGCGGCGTTAGCGGAAGTTAATAAGTACGGTTGCTATTAGACAAACATTATAACTGATACGTTATTGTATATTTTTTATTGTGTTTAATACAAAATTCACGTAAACTAAAATTGGTAGTAACTCTTATTATTAGAAAGGTTGCTGCACATAATCGTTGACACGTAAGTGAATGGGAATAGAGTATATTTTATTAATCTAAATCTATGTGTAATAACACTTAATTGGCTGTTGAGGAGTGATGATTAGGCTTTCAGCCCGTAGATTATATACAAATACATATACGTCACTTTCGACCAATGTTTCTGCATAGACGGATGAAGGGACGAAAGCTGCTTAATGGTCCTCGTCACCACTTCCAGGTAGATCGAGGGTCAATGATCTTGGATGTGGTCCTGTGTATGTGAAAAATAGAATCATGAGAATAAAATCATGAGTCTAATATAGCTGTTCGATGCTGTCACTCGATCTCCAAATTAAATTATTAAGCCAATAATTTGATAGTTTCGCTCGATATCTAACTTAAATTGTTAAGTCAATAACTTAATCAATTTCTAAGTTAATATTAAGGCAATAACTTAAACTTTAAGTCAATAATTGCTCACATATTTGTTGCTACCGCTATTAAATTAATTGCGTGCAGCAATCACGTTCTGATTACAATCTTCAATCCAGAAGGACCTGTATCATAGTTTGGTAAACTCGGTATAGAAACATCTCGACGCGTCGAGGGTTCGAATTTAATTCAATGTGTGATGACTCAGTGGCGCCGTTCCTGACCTATTGTCTTGAGCGCCGAGGATCCTGAGTTAATTCTCACACAGGACAAGTATTTGTGTGACGCAGAGATAATTGTTCTAGGATCTGGGTGTTTGCTCCCAATGAGGGTTGCCGTTAGGCTGGTCCCAAAAATTCCTATTCAATACTATTAACAACAACGGCAAGTGAAAGAAGAAGCATTAAATGTACATTTGAAACCAATCCAAAATAGTAACAAATAGCAATCCAAAATAGTTGCTTAATTCAATTCTAGACAATGAAAGGTGCTCTACATAAGAATGTAGAGTGACTTTCATAATTAATTCGAGTCTTCCACCGAAATTTCATAAGTTGAACTTTAGTGAAAGTTTAGTGCACTTCCCCTTACCGCAATTCGCCGCTAAAGCGCGGTGTAAGCGTTGGCTAATCAAACATCTTCGGCCGGCCTCGTGTTTTGGCAGAAAAG